AAATGCATCCGCCTTCACCAAGAGCAAGAAGGAAAAAAATAATAAAAAATTGTACATCGCCTGGTGCCTTTCATGACAGTTTTGGTCTAAAATGATCTCAACGATGTGATGTTACTTTGGTCAGTTTCAAGAAAAAATGAACCTTTGGAAGTCAACAAGTTGTTACTTTTTGTTTTGGTTCAACAGAAAAGTTTTTAAAAACAAACTAAAGAAACTAATCTTGAAAAAAGGATGGTATGCCCATAAAATATCGAAACTAGTCTGACCACAAGGACAAGTTAAAAGTGTGTCCTGCAATCAGCATCTCATATGTCTTCAGTCTGTAATCAGTCTGTTTAAAGCATTTGTGTCAAAATCAAGGCCCGGGGCCAAATGTGGCCCTCGTTGACATCTGGCCCCCAAGATGATATGTGGAACATCAAATACTTCTATCTCTTGAATATTTTCAGTAATCTTTGATTATGACGTCGAAAGCACAACAGAGAACATCAAATGAGACCAATCAAACTCTTGTTGAGGAACCTGCAACCAAGAGAAGATGCTGAGTATCTGGTTTGAGTTCATGTAGATTCTGAAACTGGCCCTTAGTTTGAAAACGTTTTAATTTTGGCCCCTGTTGTGAGTGAGTTTGACACCCCTGATCTAGAGGGTGACAGGTAGTCACAAGGCTGTTTGGTGTGTAACACACTGACCATGCGGCACAGAAAGCTGAGGATCGAGTTGTCTCAGGAGTTAAACAGAAAATGATTGATTGTTAATAAGACCAACCTCATCTGTCAGTCCTTTCCTCTCCTCCCTCTGTCTCCTGACACAGAACCCTGTTTGTCAACAGCACCGGTGGAGGTCGTCGTTAACCCGGGCCTCGACTGATCTCATATGGTGTCTTTTAGATGAACTTGCATTAGTTTTGGCAAAAGTGTTTTATGTCGGATGTCCTTCCTGACACAACCCTCACCATTTACCCGGGCTTGGGACCAGAACCAGAGACTGGCTTGTGCTCCCTAATGGCGGGGTTAGCTCCTAGTGGCTGTTTTTAGGACATCCTCCCCCAGACCTAAAAATGGTATTTTCAGCGGGAGCCTAAGTGTCTGGAGCACAGCCTCACTCTCAGAATCTGAGACAGAAACTACACCTGGACAACAACAAAAAACACCACCTGGACCCTAGAGACCGCACCTGGATCATAGATACTAGACCTGGACCATAGGAACCATTTGTGGACCATAAACCTGGACCAGTCTTTCATCCATGTTTTATTCCAGGCTTCTTTAAGTCCAGCCAGTCAAAGATGGCCACCCATCCTGAGCCTGGTTCTTGTTCTAGTTTTCATGGAGGTCTGTTCCTGTTAAAACTTAGTTTTTTCTTCCTACTGTCGCCAATGTGCTGCTCAGGATGGAAGGTTGTGACAAAGTGGAGGTTCAACAAAAACCTTTCTCTTTCCTAAATAACTTTTACTAATGGTCTGAAGCAAGTAAAGATGATGGATGGATGGATGGATGGATGGATGGATGGATGGATGGATGGATGGATGGATGGATGGATGGATGAACTTTTATTTTATAAAAGTCTGAAGTGAATTAATCTCAGAGCTTGTTGGAGGTGAAGATCTCCTCTGGTCCGTGGCAGGAGAGATGTCCTTCTGTTGCACAAACTGTAATTATTTTCCCTCAAATGTACCTTTTTTTATACACAGTGATTTTTACTCAAGTTACTTTACTTTTACTTGTACTTTTACTTGAGTTTGTTATTTTAGTACTCTGTCCATCCCTGAGCCAAACCTTCAGAACTGAAGCCTCAGAGTGGATCTGTAGAACCCCCCTACATGCACCACAAGAGGTCAGTCTGAACCTGGATCAGATATCGAGTTAACCACGTGCAAAGAATAGAACAGAATAGAATGGAATAAGAATAGAATAGAACAGAATAGAATAGAATAAGAATAGAATAGAATAAGAATAGAATGGAATAAGAATAGAATAGAATAAGAATAGAACTGAATAGAATAGAACAAAATAGAATAAAATAAGAATAGAATAAGAATAGGATAGGATAGAATAGAATACAACAGAATATAATAGAACAGAATAGAATATCAATCAACCTTTATTTCTACAGGTAATTCCCATTGAGCCTCGAGGACTCATTTACAAGAGAGACCTGATTTCAACAAAGAACAATGGACAACAGCAACAACAATAAACAGTTATAAAAAGTCATAATACAGTTTTTTTTTTTTTTTACAAATAGGATGGCTAAAAGGAAAAGGTAACAAAAAACATCTAGATTCTAAGGTGAATGTAGAAACTAAAAACAGGAACATGTCTGCGTTGGTCCCGAGTCCAACAGATTCTTAAAGACACTTAGAGAGGTCAAAGGTCGAGAGAATAAGAATAGAACATAATAGAATAAGAATAGAATAGAATAACAATAGAATAGAATAAGAATAGAATAAGAATAGGATAGAATAAAATAGAACATAATAAAATAGAATATAATAAGAATAGAATAGAACAGAATAGAATAAGAATAGAACAGAACATAATAGAACAGAACAGAACAGAATAGAATTAGAATATAATAGAACATAATAGAATAAGAATAGAATAGAATAACAATAGAATAGAATAAGTATAGGCTATAATAAAATAGAACAGAGTAGAATAGAACAGAACAGAATAAGAATAGAATAGAACATAATATAACATAATATAATAGAACAGAATAGAATAAGAATAGAATAGAACAGAAAGAATAAAACAGAACAGAATAGAATGAGAATATAATAGAACAGAATATTATAGAATAGAATAGAATAGAATAGAATAGAATAGAATAGAATAGAAT